ACTTTTGTCGCAAAAGCGAGACATAGCGATCCTACATTCCGTCGTCGGCGTCGTCGTCGTCGGCGGCGGCGGCGTCCACAAATATTCACTCTGTGGTTAAAGTTTTTGAAATTTTAATAACTTTCTTAAACTATCCTGGATTTCTACCAAACTTGGACAGAAGCTTGTTTATGATCATAAGATAGTATCCAGAAGTAAATTTTGTAAAAAAAAAAATCCTGATTATCCGTATTTTACTTATAAATGGACTTAGTTTTTCTGCCAGTTAACATTACATTCACTCTGTGGTTAAAGTTTTAAAATTTTTAATAACTTTCTTAAACTATCCTGGATTTGTACCAAACTTGGACAGAAGCTTGTTAATGATCAAAAGCTAGTATTTAGAAGGACATTTTGTAAAAATGTATTTCCTGTTTTTCCGTCTATTACTTATAAATGGACTTAGTTTTTCTTCCAGTTAACATTACATAGAGTCTGCAGTTGAAGTTTTTAAAACATTTATTATATTCATAAACCATTTCATTAACTGTATCAATTATGTGCATTCCCCTATCACACTGAAAACATAGACAATAGCAAAAGTAGGCTAGACACTAGGTTCCGCGGAACCCTTACGAATTTTTTTATTACATATCAACTGGGAACATTATATGTTCCCGATATCAATATGGCGATGTGTATTTTATTGTCAATTCATTCTAAATTATCAGATGCATTGTATTTCTCATAACATACCAAAGTTGAGCGATTAATCGAACGGTAATAAAATATACGTAATACATAAAGTTTTAATACACAGGCAATGAACATTGAACATATTATGTACAATCAGAGACATATAATACAATGTCTCTGGTACAATGAACATGAAACGATGTATGAAAAATGGATGCGGGATGATAGAACCCAGAAAAAAATTTGGTTTCCACAGTTCGAAGAAATTATGAAGCGTTGTGTTATTACGGAAATGTTAGCCAATTTTGAATTCCTACCGAAAATAGGTTTCTTTTAACGTGCTGAATTTGTGGCATTTTTAACACGGCATTTCAGATTTTATCTTCCCGGTGCGTATGGACAAGCTAGTGAAATTATGGTAACGAAATTATTCTGCCTGCAGTCTAAAAGGAAAGTGTTCTTTTCAGCACGGATACCCTCAGTCTTCCGAGGTAGAAGATTCTTTATCTGGAAGCCGAAAATTATTTCTATAATACGGCATGAGGCAAACATTCGTTTTCCCCATACAACAAATGCAATTAAAAAAATGAGATGACTTCAACTTTGACAATTACTTTATAATAAACTGTTATTGTATCTATGTTTAACGATTCGATAGATTGATAAAAATATCAATGAATAATCAAAATACCTTAAAAAATGTAAAAAAATGATATTATATTTTGTAATGAAAAGGTTTAATTCAACCCAAGCGTTGCAAGAAATGCTGTTATGCCAGCAACGTCGTTCTATAACGTAAAACAGAAAAGGTTATTATAGTTCCCGCCAAAATTCAATAATAAGATTATATCCGTTTTAGCGGACTAAAAACATCAGTGACCCCCTTTTTTTATTTATGCTTTTAAAATCTTCCCTGAAGCTGCAACTTATGCAGAAGTTTGAAGGGAAAAACATTAGTAGATTTTTTTTATTTCAAGAAAAATCTATTATAAATAGCAATTAAAAATGGCGGGAACTGTTCAAAGGCCTTCAAAAATAAGGAAACCGAGACAAATAAATGCTCATAAGGTACAAGTTACATTTGACTGTTTTTGTTATTCCGGTTAAACATCGTTTTTCAATAAGTTTGTCTTTTTTTAGAAATTTAGAGCGCTATTTCTATATTTCGTTATAACGCGATTCTGTAAGTTTTGATGACGTCATATCTCGAAAACAACATCGGTGACCCCAATTTTTTTTTCGCCTAAAATATCGTAATACGTATGATCTGTCTACATGCAAAATTTCAATGAATTATTATTAGTAGTATAAATAGTGTGATTTCCCTTTAAGTTGTAACTTGCGTTTCCGTCTTTCTCAGCAACACCACTTCGATGTTTACAAGATGATGCATCTTATAATACTATGTGTGTAATTTCAATTAATACACACCATCACATACTTTGATGCGGACAACGTGTCGTACTTTTTAACCTAAAAAAAACAATTTACCCTCTGTGATAAAAAATGTTCTTTAAGTATAACAATAGTCATTTTGATGCATGCAGGTAAGTCAAGAATATATCAATTTAAGAAAAAAATATTTTAATGTTTTTGTTAAAATTTTCTCATAAACTCATACTTGTGATCATCATGATTTGGTACAGCGAGGAAATATTTATTTCACACATTAATATGGATATGTTCCATATCTATTTCGGTGCATGACATTTGCGCGCAAAAATGATTACGTTTGCGAGCAGCTTTTGATTCCATTTGCGCGCATTCTTTTACAGGTAAACTCAGGTAAATATAGGTAGATTATACTTATTTATTTATTTATTTAACTGTAATTTAGAGCAGGATACGTCTGTTTTATTATGCAAAAGCACTTATTTCTGAAAAAATATACAGATAAAAATGTAAAAACATAGAAAATCTAAAGATTAAAAGTACTGATTTTTCATGTCATAACGTGTTGAATATTTGAAGACCACTGCTTTAAGAAACCAGAAAACACAAAAATACGTGGATGTGCTGAATAAAATTGCTCATTGTAGTGAGAATGGAATGATTCCGGACCGTTTGTAGTATGCCTGGATTCTACTGACGATAGTGATGCACAAAGACTTGAAGGAAAAAGGTTTTGTGTTTGTGCTTTCACGAAACTTTACAAACTGACTTAAATTATTTACTAAAGCGATCATTATTCGGTAAAATTAGGATCGAAACAGAATACTATTTACTCTGATATATTCGAAATTAAGTTACATGTATGTCTTAAGCTAACATTACGGGATTTCTTTATATTTTTTTAGAATTCAATATGAAAAATAAATAATTCAAATTTACAAATATGTTCAAAATTCATTATAACTATAGTCATATCTATTATGAATTATCTTTATTTCATACCAGTGTTACCTGTTAAATGAATGCGCGCAATTGTTATCAAAAGCTGCGCGCAAACGTAAAAGAATTTAACCCCAAAATGCCCGAAAATGTAATGCGTGCAAATGTAATGCGCCCTATTTATTAAACCGCAAAATAAAAAAAACAACCACCCTAAAGTAAAAGGTAAAAATCGCGATCGAATAAATAATATTACTCTCTGATTAAATGAAAATGTTCATCTCCAAAATAAAAATGTTTTTGTGCATTGCTCTAGCCTCTATTAAAGTATTCTAAAGTAATGAATATTTCAGTGTAACCATAGTTTTAAGATTAACGGTTTAACAAACAACTCTGCAAATTAATTAGTGACGTTAATTATGCATGCAAGTCTAAGTATGTCTACGTGTTCAATAGACAGAAACTATGGTTTATCTCTAACTGTTCACCCGTAATATTTAGTTCACCGGGCCCTTTGTTCCAGTGGAAACTATTGCCATCACTTGGCGTGCGTCCGTCCATAAACTTTTAAAAAATATTTTCTCCTTTGAAACAATTGAGTGGAATGGAACCACATTTGCACACACGCTTCCTCAAGGTATCTTCTTTAAACATTAAATCACAAGAACTGCAGTTTTTTTTACTCACAAGATGAAAACGATTACAGCTAGAGAGAAAGAAACAAAAAGCTATAATAACGGACATTGTTGGTTGATGCCTGAGTTATTGCTCTCGATTGAATTTTCTAAATATTTTTTTGTAAATTTCTTCTAAACTGTTTTAGATAGAGAAAACTGCAAATAGCAATTATGATCAGTCAAACAAGATAGTCAATATGATAGAAGTTGTAAGATAACTGCTTTCATGAGTTTTTGCCCTAAAATATCTGTTTTTGACATGGAAACAGTTAGCAGTAATAATGAATAGCGGAACAAGATTTATGATTAGATAAATATATATATAGTACAGACTAAATTTAAACACTACTGCAAAAGTTATATCTTCTAACGGCTTGATTTCTGACATTTTTTTTTCAGATAAATCTTGTTTTCTTCTTTCCCCAGGAAAAAGTTTCATCTATGTTAAACCACGAATACAGTTATGCAGGTTCAAGAATTGGCGATATTCAACATGGTATATCTTGACCGTTATGGAATATCTGTTTCACAGATGACAACGGCTATGTTCCAATTGTCGTAACTACAATCCCGTCCTCTTTCCCCTGAATGTGACCACCGAATTAGACTTATCATCGGGTTTGTAAAAACATGAGCAACACGACGGGTGCCACATGTGGAGCAGGATCTGCTTACCTTTCCGGAGCACCTGATATCACGTCCAGTTTTTGGTGGGGTTCGCGTTGCTCAGTCTTTTGTTTCCTATGTTGTGTTTTGTGTACTGTTGTTTGTCTGTTTGTCTTTTTTCTTTTTTATCCATGCGGTGTCAGTTTATTTTTGACTTATGAGTTTGAATGTCCCTTTGGTATCTTTCGCCTCTTATCTATGAATGCACATGCTATCCGAGACAACTTTTAAACATTGCAAAAGAAGAGAAAAAAAAAAACAAAGGCTTGGTTTAACTCGTAATTTCATGATGTACAATACAATGTAATTATATGAATTGAATGCTCATTTTTGTAATTAGTATAAAGGGGTGTTGAAGTGCTGAATGTGCGCATAATATTATGTGCTTCAGTCAACGCTTTTACATTTCAATAAAATTACAAAGAGAAGCAGCATTCAATTCTTAAATACATTGGTTCGATTGAAGCATACCCCTGTCACAAAATGATTTATTCAAATCAATTTATCTGATCATTTGTGTTTAAGCATAAATAAATACAAAACAAAGTTTTAAAACTATCTTATAGAATTTTTTTTATCTGAAATGTATGATACATTGAAAAAAGTTATTTCTAACTTAATAATGCAAGTACTAATTTTACCAATGGCGAGTTGATCATAGCGACATTGATTTTTTTGTTGCACAACAACAACAAAATATTTCCGAAACTGCCTTGCGAAATCTTGTATCGAAAAAGGTATATATGAATGGATTAACAGCATGATTTAAAAGGTACATCCTATACAGGAACAAAAATCCAGCGATGGCCTCATTAGGTTTGTTCCAAAAATTAGGGTCAATACTTTCCAAAAGCATCAGTGTTACCCGTGGTGAATATGCAATGATAAATAGTGCAGTAATTGTCATAAACATGTATGAATATCTGTGCGTTCGAAAATGTTGTCCTATTGTGAAGAAACGTCCTTGATCAAGGGTATCAGCGGAACCTCGTTTCACTTTTCGTCTGTATGTATCGCATTCGACGAGATCTTCGATACTGTTTGCTCTTGATCTTGAAGACTCGTTTTCGTTATCTTTATCAACCGCTAGTACACTTTCTAACTCCACAGAACTCCTCTGATTTTTAGTATACTTTCCCTGTTTCACAGATTGTTGGAATATTATAAACTTTCGATAAATTGCCTTTCCAATCAAAATGTACAGAATAATAAGAACTATGGAAGCAATAACTGCAACTATAACAGCACTTATATCAAAAATAATTACGTGTTCTATGTTTTGTCTCTTTTGTCCACACCAAAATCCTGTAACATTCAGCATTGGATTGTAAATTTCTACCGAACCATAATAGAAAAATATTGGAACTGAAAATGCGAATCCGAAACAAAAAGCCAAAATAGTACAAAAATATTTCATTTTCTGTGTAAAAATAAATGATGGCTTACATACTTTAAGGTATCGCTGCACTGCTATTATTATCAATAAAACTGCGGATATAATTGTTACCCCTTGAGAAACAAACCAGAGTACTTCACAGACAATTCCATTATTGAACTTTACCGGTATTATGTTCCAAGCAAAGGCAAACGATGCACCAACAAGACATGCTATAAAATCCACTGAAGCAAGCACCGGTATGAAAAATCTGTCGTCTCGTTTTACTTTCATTTTGAAAACATATACCAAAATAACTGTTATATTTCCAATAGTTCCCAGTATCAAGTATAGAGATAAAACAACGTCGTTTGGAATCAAATATTTCAAAACAGTGTTGTTCCATTCAGTCAAACGTTCATCTTGTGTTTTTGTTGACGCCATGATAAGAATATATGATATATATATATATATATATATGTAATGGAAAATATGTTTTTCTACATTCAAAAATGAACGTATTCCTTGGTGGATGAAAAAAATATTCTTTTAAAAAATGTGAAATAAACCCTATTGTTTCATATTAATTAATCTCTCTTAATCTTAAGGATCTGTATTGATGAACAAATACGGATATATTATTAAAAAATCATATCAATTTCACCAAATACTTTGTTTACACAAAAAGACTTTACAATAATAGTAAGATCGGGAGGGATAGAGGTCAGAATATTCTTGAAATAGTTGAGGTCAGCTTATTAGTTTTTAAAAGTTCAGTTAAAGCATATGTGTTTCCAAGATTTTGAAGAATATAGTTTACAACGGATTGCAATTTCTTTCTAAAAAAAACTGTTTCATTCTTCGGAAAACTTAAATTAAGCAAAATATCAAGATAGTTATGTTTCTATTGTGGTGTTTTTACTTCTTTAGTTTCATGCATGCATTCGTTTTAAGTCTGTAATGGACTTTCAGATGGTTGTAAGGCATGTTGGCACTTGCTAATTTGTTATGTGAGTTGGTTTTTTTTTTGTTTTTTTTATTTTATCTTTAAATCATAATTTGTATCTTTTTAGGTCCGGTAGATTTTTTTCTTTATAATAATTTAACTACATATATTTTTACAAACACATTCGTGTAGTTTTATAGAAATATACTCAACTGACACTGAAAGTTGTGTCCATCTATGCATGTTTATAAAAAAAAATTTCACTTTCAATATCCCGTCTATTTACCACTTTTTCAACTTTAGTATTTGTAAGGGATTTTTTTTTTATTCAATGTAAGCTGAAGGATAATATTCTAAATAGATTGTTTATTATGTAAACAAATTTATAATCGTATCATACTAAATGCGTATGTATTTACAACATAAGGACATTATCATTCGTTCATTATTCAAGCAAAATCGCATTATCCTAAATACGTATGTATTTACAACATATAGGAAATTGTCATTCAACTTTTCGCACATGATCGTCTCTCAGTATGATTTCCGTTTAATTTCTTTGGGTTAGTAAGTTAACTTAACACTTTATTACCTAATAATTATTAGTCCTATGTTATCCATTTAAAAATCTTCATAAGTCAAAATGAAATTTAATGTTGTGTTGACTCCATTTAGACTCTCTGTGATAATGTGCTACGACTTTGAGATGAAGGACAGCAATAAAGCCATGTGCTTTTGTTTATTTTATTTAGGGGGGGGGGGTGCTGTAATATCACAGCAATTTTTTAATTTATGTATTTTGTGAAAACGTTTACGTCTTTGATTATAAGAAGTCATTATACTTGCCACTGAACAAAAAGTCGGATAGTGAAATGATGAGGTTTGCAGCATACATACATTTTCCCCGTACGACAATAGTACCGATAATAAGGGATTTCCGGCCGCTTATGCTTCACAATATATGAAACGAAATTACGTCTTGTTTTGCCAGCATTGGTTGCGAAATCTGTTACACCCTCTGCATGTCAAAGAAATCAGAAAAAATTTGGTAAAGCAAAAGTAACATATTTGTTGGTTAAAATACTGTTCTTACCTTACCAACTTTACAATTACTGTTTAACAGCAGTCAAAATGTTTCCTCTTTTTTCATGTCCAACCATATCTCTACAAACCTGTCAACCTCTGAAGGAGAAAATGCTTGAAGAAGAAAATCTCAGGTCATAACGCGTACAAACTTTTTTCAACTGAATTAAAGTATTTAGGGGACATTTTTTTATATTTTAAATCAAAAAGTTCCAAAAACATTTTCACATGGTTAAGTATTTACTGAAAATAATTTGAAACTTTTAGTTAATTTTTTTGTTGCTTTCATTAACCATTGAAATATGAATTTATAATACTATATTCATTCAAGCCATACCCCCTATTAATGTTTCATTCTCATTGTTTTAAATTCCAACCCTTTTAACACAATGTTGACTGCTGTACCCCTATTTTTGACATTTTTACCTATTATGTCTGTTTGTTTTGTTCACACATTGTTGTCAATATAATGGAATTTTATGCGACTGTCATACAAGTGAGAGGTTTAGCTAGCTATAAAACCAGGTTTAATCCACCATTTTCTACATAAGGAAATGCCTGTACCAAGTCAGGTATATGAAAGTTGCTTTCATTCGTTTGATGTGTTTGATCTTTTGATTTTGCCATTTGATCAGGGACTTTCCGTTTTAAATCCTTGGAGTTCGGTATTTTTGTTATTTGTCATTTTTTGCATGATTTGTTTGAAAGACAGTTAAATGGCTATATAAAACTGGGGACTTTCTCGCTTTTATATTTAATGAAGTAAACATTAATCAGTGAATCAAGTCTAATTCAATTAATGTATGTATGATGATTAAAAGAAAATATGGGGGATGTGTCGGTGAGACAGCAGCTCAACTACTCAAAATAGTCAAAATACCATATTCAACGAAAGATGGCGTCCTATACAATGTCAAGCTCTAAATCGTTCAGAGTCTAAAAAGTTGTGAATGATTGGTCATCAACACAAATTCCTTATATAGCAAAAACATGATTAATGACAAAAGACAACAACTGACGAGGTTTCCATACTTAGGACATGCACATTAACAAGTGGTGGGGTTAAAGTATAGCTTTTTTTCTTGACATCTGTTGATCAGTTTGTTTTTCATGTTGCAGTTCAAAATTAAGGAAAACCTATTTTATCTAACTTGTAACTCACACGGTATATATCCGTATTACAATTTAGTTTCAAATGAAAAAAACACACTAGTGATGAACTCTTAATTCATTGACATCTGTTGATCAGTTTGTTTTTCATGTTGCAGTTCAAAATTAAGGAAAACCTATTTTATCTAACTTGTAACTCACACGGTATATATCCGTATTACAATTTAGTTTCAAATGAAAAAAACACACTAGTGATGAACTCTTAATTCACTGAAGAATGGTCAAGGGTTTTCAAGTTTATTTGCTTAGCTACGAAATGTGATTTACTGGTTCGAAAAGTCGAAGTAAATGCGTTTCCGTCTCTCTCAGCAACTTCAATGTTTACAAGATGATGTATTTTTATAATACTAGGTGTATAATTTTAATAAAAAGTATAATAACAAAAATACCGAACTCCGAGGAAAATTCTAAACGGAAAGTCCCTACGCAAATAGCAAAATCAAAAGCTCAAACACATCAAACGAATGGATAACAACTGTCATATTCCTGACTTGGTACAGGCATTTTCTTATGTAGAAAATGGTGGATTAACATACTTTTGATGTGAACAACGTGTCATACTTTAAACTCAGAAAATAATTTACCTTCTGGAAAATTACTTTTCCTCTGAGTATAAAAATAGACATGATGATATCTGTAGGTAAGACAAAAACATATATATTAATTAAAAATCATATTTTCCCCTTTTTGTTAAAATTTTCTTCTACAATCATATTTGTGATCATCAAGATTTGTTAAAGTCAGGAAATACCTGAGGGTCTAGATGGGGTTTACAGAATAGACAATAATGGAATATGGTGCAGAATAAAGGGGAAAGCAAATAAAGAATAGACAAAAAAATAGTCAAAAAAATAAAGAATAGAGAATAATGGGCAAATCAAATAAAGAATAGAGAAAAATTATGAACAAAATTAAAGAATAAGAAATGAATGACCCCCATTCAGACCCTCATATCTGTTCCACACATTAACATGGATATGTTCCATTTTTCGTAGCTGCAACTCCTTTCTCCTTTCACATACTCCCACTGTAGAGAAAAACAAAACGTTTAAAACTTAAAAAATCCAATTTACACTGAGACTTATTCAAAATATATTTTACATTTTGATATAATAAAAAATCATATGGATAAAACAAAAACAAAATTATAGAAGAGAATTTCAATGTACAGTAAAATTCTAATTTTTAAATCAAATATTTTCGGTGGCTAATGACTATGACAAATAAAGGCAACAGTAGTATACCGCTGTTCAATAGTCATAATTCGATTAAGCAAATACAAATCCGGGTAACAAACTAAAACCGAGGGAAACACATCAACTATAAGAAGAAAACAACGGAACAACAGAAACACTGAACTACAACAAAAGCAAACGCCAACATACACACGAGACGATTTTAATTTTGAAATTTTCGATTTCTCCCACTTTAGTAGCAATATACCAACTTCACCTGCATATGTGATTGTGATATACATTTCCCAACTCATTCGGTATTCACGAGCTTGCAGCTGCTACTCAGACTTTATAAAACGTCACCAGTGTCTGAGCAGAAAGTTGATAAACCAGGCCTTGCGGTCATAAAACTTCCGAGCACGATTATTGTACTGAGACTCAGAAATCAACCAATCAAAATACTGGATTAACAAAATATGTGCTCGAAAATATTTTTGAGCACATATTTTGTACTCCGAGTTCTGAGTAAAGTTTTATGACCGAGGGCCCTGTTATGTCAAAGAACGTTTCGTCCTTTTTTTCTAAAAAAAAGTTCATCGGAAGATACCAAGACCTTGTTGATAAATATTCCGTGTCAACTTCACAAAAAATACATGATGATCTTGAAATATAGATTCTAGGCACTGACGTTGTTTATCATCTTAATTACGTGTTATAGTGTTCTTTTATTTGTCTTTGTAAATTATAAACCTTTACTGTTTTGTCCATTTTGGGTAATATCCTTTTGTCGTGTCTCCGTACTTATGCATCCCGCCATTGTGTTGTTGTGCTGTGGTCATTTTTTTGTATGCTCGTCTTTCATTTTTGCTTATGTTCTTTTCTATATGCCATTTTGTTTTTCTTTGTTGGCATATTTCTTTTTTTTTATAGTGATTAAGATTATAACACAATGTTGACTGCTGTACCCCTATTTTTGACATTTTTACCTATTATGTCTGTTTGTTTTGTTCACACATTGTTGTCAATATAATGGAATTCTATGCGACTGTCATACAAGTGAGAGGTTAAGC